ATTTATTTAATCAATTATTATGTTTGTATTTATTTCTGGTTACTTTTAATTAACATAACAACACATCCAACTATCCTCTATCAGTATTTACATCGATGAGCTTACTTTTCTCAAATTTATTTTAACGTTATTATAAAAACATGGTTAATGAGTTTTGGATTATGGGCAAAAGCTATACTAATGAAATTTTCGTCAGTAAAATACAGATCCACGAATATACTTACATATTTCACAGTTTGATTACACTTTAGATCAATGAAATTATATTCATTCCTATACTCAAAATCAACATTTTAGCATGAATGAACAAGCACTCAGTATCGACTAGTTTCAGATCTTATTTATCTGTAGTATTTTAGTCTCTGAAATCATTTCAAGTAAGATTACTTACATCTGCTTCTGAAAAAGGTATGCTTAGACCATAATGCTCTCCGGGTAGCATGGATTAACCTCTATGTGATCTAAAACAAGTGTCTAGGAGGAGATTCGGCTAATCCCCCATTCTATTTAAGCTTTGGATTGCAGAAAGGAATGAGCTGTAGAATTGAATGTTACAGTTAGATTAGAGAAATTACCTTTTGAAACTGTCTAAACTCTGTTCAGTCAGAACCAATAGATTTGTCTGGCGAGGGTCGGAACGGTGACCATAAATTGCAATGTAAGAAGTATATCGTCCACTGACAACTTAAAAGCTAAGCTCATTTGGCCGCTTGATGGTCATTCAGTACAATTACTATCGCTGGGATACAGCCTGTGGTACGAAGCACAACTATACTGGGACAGGCTGGCTTCAACTTAGTCTGTTTCACTATTGATAGACCATGATGAAATCACCTACCACACGCATATATATATATAAGTAGACCGTAGCGAAAACGTCTGTGTTTATGTATAAAATAGACTGTAAGAATTCTCTTTCAGATGGTATGTCCCTATCCAAAAAATCTCCTTTCTTTCCTTTTCTCAAATTTGGAATTTTTACTTTACACAAAGGCTCCTCCTTTTCGCCTTGAAATGTCAACTAACTTCCCTCTTCATTAGGCGAAGTTAACTGACTGAAATGTTGAGAAAGTTACTTGAGGCAATTTACCCACCTTAAAAATAAATAAAGCGGATATAAGCGATGTCGGTTGATATACCATGTCAGTATTGAAACAGAAAATCAGCCCTGTGCATCTAGTCAACAAATCGTCACTTATTTTCTTTCCGATCAACTGGTACTCTACTTATTGACAGATACTGATACATGACCTCTAGATTCGCATTATTCTATAGATCCAAGTCACAGAGTGCAGTGACAGTTCGACTGCAATAAGTATATCTGCTCGTCAAAAGCTTTAGGAGGGCAAGAACTCAGTCACTCTGGGGTTCAAAGCCAATCTTATTTTAGTGAATTTAATTTTCTCGAGGTCTAGTTAGGTGTCTGATGGTTCGGGAATTCAAAGCCTGAAAATCATGTCAATGAAACTAATGTATTTTTGATAATTACACGGTTTTTCCTTATTCACTTTAGTTTTAAAGTGTCTTTATTGTTTTTTTTTTAGTTTCTTATGGATACCACTGGCGCTGCACAACATTTAATTTAAGGATAATCATTCTTCTGACACCATACTGTTTTAGCCACTTGTTTATCAAATAAATTTTCATCCCGTTCGCTTGGAGACTAACCTCTGAGTGACCTTTCTATTACATTCTTGATGTAGCCAACGCGGCACACGCATATAAACGCTCACATTAGAGCAAGGTTGGAGTTAGAATTCGTGCATGTAATCAGTAGCAGTTTTCTACTGATGATAATACAACCTTTTTTTCCATAGTCGAATCAATGATATTGATTTGCCAGTGAGAGTAGACAGACACATCTAATACGTCATAGTTTGCATAAAAAATGAACTCATCCCACCGTGTTTATGTCAAAAAGTCTTCTTTTATTTATTGGTATCTGCTATCAGACCAGCTTTGCAAACAAACGTATTTACACCCACTGAATTTATTTTAGCCCAAGTTATTAAAGATTGTCAGATCATACAGTAATTTATGCTTAGAGGGATCTGTTTATTAACCTTCTAATGCTCCATACGAAAAACTGTACTATTTAATAGTCCATATGACCTAAATGAATAATCCGAGTAGAAGAGTCTTTTATACTTAGTAACATCTTTCTGTTCAGTATTTTATTTAGAACTTTACTTCAAAATGTAATTATTTTAGTATTTGATAATTTATAACTTTGACTTGCTTTAATTTATTTGCATTGGGATTTTGAGACTTTCCATTGTTGGTTAGAAATGCAACTGATCAGTCTTTTTTGAAATCCTTTGATGTTTGCCTTGATATTTCCATTGAGTCGAAAGCGTTTATAAGTAAATGTAGATGGCTAGCAGTCGAATCTGAGACACATAGTTTGACAACTAGACGAAAGAATGATTGATTCGAAAAGATAAACTCTAAATACAGTACATAAGTGTTTTACTATAACCCGTATTTTACATAGAGTCTTAAACTACATTTGTTTGCGGTTTTGAGTAAAATATTGTAAATGTGAAATATCTTACCTCATTTTTTTCAATTTATAGTAACAGAAACTAATCTTCTGTCAGCTTTTTGGGAAAGCTTCTCATTGTACTATTCTGTAGATTAATAGCACTCTGAATGTTTTCAAAGGAAAATAATAATATCGAAAGTACTGTAAAAGTTTATAATTAGGTAATAAATAATGGCAAATTCCGAGAGAGTTCAAGGACGAATTTCGCTTATGAACAAACGTGGCGAAGCAGAATGTTGAAAGCCAGGAGAGTGAAATTTCTAGGCAATGCTTCATTTAACATACCAACTATCATTTTCCTTACAATTTGTGAACAAAAATATGCTAAGTGATTTACTGTTATAAAGAAACGAAACAGACAGAAAAAGTGTATAACAGTTCACTTTGTCAAAAAATTCGGACTAACTTGTAGGGAATGACACAGGGACTTGCCTTCTACAATCGTTTAGTCACGGTGTATGTATACAGATATATGAACTATTGTACTCATAGACTAACATTCACTGTAGACGGTCGGTTTACATTCGTTGAGGAAGAATTCTTACGAAAAAATGAATTTCCAATTAAATTTTCAGTTCAAGTTTACTTTTTTCTCAAAAAAACGAACAACTTATTTTATCGAACAACTGTTGCAAATATTATCTCTTGTAATGTCTCATATCCGATGAAGTCTACAGAACTGATTCATTTGCTGTTGCTTATGGAATGGACATTATTTCTTTAGATGTAGACCAGATAAAAATAACTATTGAAACAACTAATCATCATGCCCACTGTACAATAATTGACTGTCTATGACGCTAAGGCTGATTGAATGGTTTTAACAAATAAGATAAGGTCTATTTCTAATTATACATCGTTAAGATATCCCAGAACTCCTCGTTTAAGAAATTTTCAGTTGGTCCTCTTTATTATTCAAAATATACATTTTGTTTCATCCATGTGAAATAGGTTTTCGATCGATCAAAGTATTTGTTTTTTAATTTTCCAGCCTCTTTATTAATTTGTTTATACAGCTGTTTCCTTACAGGCCTTCTCGTGAAAACACCAAAGATATTCATTCACTGTCTATCGCTTGCCTAAGAATTACATTAGATTTTATGAATTCATGTACTCCTACACAATGCCATTAGTAGTTAGACATTTTTTCTTTTGTACTTACATCAACTGAGCCTAATTCACGATTTTCGTTGAAAATTCACGTATCTTCAATATATCCCCCAACATGGAAATTATTAGTTTATCTATATGATCGAAGTCTGATTGCTATGATAATCTTGTTTCAGATGTGTCAGTTACGGTAACTGTTATTGAATGGACAGTCACAAACCTTTAACTTTATTAATATCAATAAGTGATCGAATTTTAGTAACACAATATTAAATTGCATCAAATGTAAACTAAGTTTGTTCAAGTTTCAAAGAAAACCGCATTTTATTCTTCGATAGTTTCATATATGAAGACAGGCAACTGTGTGAATGTCAGTTGATCAGTCAATACTTGTGTACAGGAATACCCATATCGCTTCCTCTTTCTTAAACCAGAGGTAAAATCCAACACTGATATTTTCTGTATACTTATAACTGAATAGCTTCTCGAAGTATACTCTCAGAAAAAAATCGTGTGTTTTATAGAACTTGTTGTAAGTACGTTTGCTAATCTTTAGAATCAGCGCTTGACGTAATGTGCTTGTCTATTTGAGATATCAAAGGATTTTATGGTGTAAATTTGAAGGCAAATCAATGAGGTTCTCCATATGTTCCAGAGAAACTAAGTTTTCGGCTTAAGTCAGAGATTTTTGTAAGAAATTGTAATAATCCGAGAATTACATTTAATAGACTACAAACATAAAATAATCTTAGATAGAAGAAAAACACAATTCATCACAGTTGTTATTTTTCTGTGTAAGAAGGCGATGCGGAGTCGCCTAACTGATAAAAAGTTTTTAGTTTGCTTTCAATTCGGTTGAGAGATGTCTATATCAATTTTTGAGAGTCTAGTAGTCCCACCATTGAACCATATCTTAACGAAAACTGACCACTTGTAAATAAAACCAATTAGATAATTGGTTAGACAACTAACAATGTTTAAATCACAATCTGTTCACTGACCTTTTGAGGTTGCGTTGTATTGTCCTTACTTTTCAACTTCGTAGAAACCAATATTTTCTAAATAATAAATTTTATTTACATCTTGTTTTGTCCTAACTAAACTAATTATAAAATTCATATGACATCATCTATTTATGAAAATATAAGCAGAGAACTTAATGCTTGTTGTAAAATAATTTTATTTACTTATAAAAATTATCAATTGAAAAACTTGTAACTAAACCTTCTACTTTCAAAGAAAATACCTGATAAACAAAACAGCACATAAATTATTCACTTCAGAAGTGATTTAAACAGACAGATAAAAAATTATTGGGCCATTATGAAAATATTCAGCAAAAAAATTACTTATTTCTCTCACGTACATAAGCTAAAAACTCATCATAATCTATTTCACCATCCTTGTTTTTGTCTGTTTGTTTCATCCAATTTAGTAAACTATCTTTGTCCACATCAGATTTGGAGGCTTTTAAATACTCGTCCAGTTCTTTAAACGAAACTTTTCCTGATCCGTCTTTGTCCATAGACTGAAAGATTTCTTTCCAGCGTTGAACACTTGAACTGGGAACAGTAAAATGATTGGATGTGAATATATGTGATAAATAATAGGAATGAAAACACAAATGATCATTATGATAAGGATTACCAAGGCACAAAAGTAATGCTGTACATAACTTTACGAAAATAGATTTTCTCAAAACATCAAGTAACAGTTCGAATTTTATGTTCATGAAACTATACACAGTTTCTGTTACTTATTAGCTTTTTTTTCCGTATAACTAAAATATTCAAATCAATAAAATAGTATTTTCAGGGCGGAAATTGTGCGTACGTATACACTCTTTGGTGAATTCTTCAAAAGTATTTACTGCTAGCTAATTAAATATCATTTCCTAGAATAGATTTGATTATCAGTTATTTATGAACTTTGAACAGAGAAATGAGAAGACATATTTTGTGAGATAGTACCATTTCGTGCTTTCTCGTCAGTCACATACAAGCAACATGTTATTTGTGTAAATGCAGTTTTGAAGATAAGGTCAAAATTTCTTATTTAGCATGACATTCACTCACTAGAACCATGGTAAACAAAGGTCAACATACAGTTGTTTTTGAACACATAAAGTTGGACTTTTCCGACCAATCAAGATAGCTTCGAGTAGTTTGAGTGTGTGTGGGTTTTGATGACATGTCACAACTCTAAAGGCTGATTTAGGGTCAATTTGATGACCACTCATCATTAGATGTTTTGCAATGGACGAGGCTGGGTTTCTTGATCGATTTTGAGATGACGGGCTAGGCTGATCAATCATGGAATATGTTCCCCTATCCTGTCCTCCAATCGGCCATCTGTCCTACCCTGAACTGTATAATAATTTCTACTCAATGATTGCCTCTTTAACATTTAATGTTTCAATTAAAAACGCTCAATTTCCAAAGAAATTTAAGAAAAATTATTCACTGAATACAAGTAAACTTACCACTTTTCTTGTTGACAGTATTTTCTTAGCGAATTTAAATACTCTTCTAAAGAAATTTTTCCATCGCTATTCACATCAGTTGCCTTGATCATTTTCTACACAAAATGTGTGCAAATTTCATAGACACGTACAAACGTTAATACAATACGTAAACAGTAGTTTTTTCACTGAATACTATAACTTTTATATGTTTAACACATTCTTCGCATAGCTTTTTTTTTACTGCCTTAAAAGAATTAAACAAACAGGTACATGCAAATAGTTTGAAGAAAGGAAATAAACTATCGACTTAAAGTGAGTTGGCTACTGCATACTGACTGTTTCCTTATTTAGTTCTTGATGTAACTAAATATAACTTAATTTATTACCCAAAGAATGATCTAAATTTTCAGAATACTGGTAGTTCCAACTAAATTTTACTGAGTATTAGTTAGTCTGCGGCATAATAATTTTTTCCACAAAGATCCCAGAATTTCTGCAAACTAATGGTTGGAGATAATTTTATTATTTTACTACTCTTTGTTTCATCGATGAACTCAGATTTACAAGAATTATTTTCTGTAGGTTTCTTCTTAGTAAGTAAAGTTTCCTTAATCTCAGTCAACCACTGTGCATAGTCAGTGGTAGAAAGAACATTTTCAAGCTTGCAGATTATTTGATTTTACAGAGCTGAACTTCTGTTGTTCATAACTATACTCACTAATTGAAGTCATGTATCACAAAAAAGTAAACTCAAAAATTAGAGGCACGAAACATTTATAATAGTGAAGCCGTGTTAAAAATGTTGGTGATATTACTAAACAAATATCAATAATTTTATGAATTTCTGACTGATACAGTGACAATCAGAAACATCCTTACAGAAAATGTGCAACTAAATAAACTTCACCGTAGTCACATTTGACAGTTAACACATGCATTTAAATGAAACTATCTCTTTAGTGAAACGAACAACGGTACTATTCCACATATTACCTCAATGTTTCAATATAATATTAATTTTCTTTCATAAGTTTGTTTGTCCAGCTTGTTAAGTAACCTACAACGATATCCACTTAGGGATCAGCAATTATTCGTTAATTTAAGATGATATGATTCTCATTTGTTTATAATATACCATTACATTAGTGAACCATTTTCACTGGTGTCGTTGAAATACGAGTACAAAATTCTGTTTTCCAAATTTCTAATTTTTAACTAAAAATAATGTCACATACAAATGTGAATTTGAATTTTTAGTTTCATATGGAAACTTACTAACAAATGAAGAAAATGATATACTTACTAAAGATAAAAACTTTCACTACTTACATCTGCTACATCTGGACTAACATTTATTTCTTTTAAGCATTGAGCAATTTCTTCACGTGTCAGAAACCCATTTTTGTCTTTGTCTATTGTGTGGAAAACTTCAATCCACTGTTTTTCGTCTGACATTGTTTTGATATAAGGTGTAGATAATAATTAATGCTTATTCTATTGACGGAATAGTTTGTAAAATGAATTGTAAGGCTTTATATACCCTTATAATTGAAAGACAATATATGAGTACTTAAAACTGGAGCGTTTTGTAAGTACCTTTCTCAGCTCAGTTTATAAAAGTATTAATTTTTTAATTGTTCGCAACAATATTACTAGTTATATGATCGCTCTACGTTTGATGTTAATTTTATTATTGTCCTTAAAAGGACACAAAACAAAAAAAAAATAATTATTGTGACTGTAATAACTGAGCATATGATGTGTACTTACTTAGTGAATAAATTGTTTTGTGCGTACAAAACAAAAATAGTAAAGTAGTAAATTATATTCTTATTTCACTAAGTACACTTTATTTTCATTTGATTGCATACCTTTTTTTATAACAGTTTTCAATAAATAGGTTGAAATAGTCTATCTAGTGTTATGATTCGATATGGTTAAAACATTTTTCTTTACTTTCCAGTAGTACGTTATTTTTTAGCATCATTGTTAAGTATGTGGTGACTAGTAAATGCTTAATTTTTTTAAAATGCTTAGTTAATACAATAGTAAGTGAATTATTACATTAACAAGCATGTTGAAGAGTATTGTTTGCAGAAACTAAGTGTTTAGTTATTTATGCTAATAATGTAAACTACAAGGATTCAAATATTATTTGTATATATATAATTTATTTTCATCGTTTTCTTGCAATACATAAGCTCTTAGAATTGCTAGACCTGTTCGTGATACGGTGTTCTAGCTGACATTTTCGAATTCATAGCGTAACCAAATCGAATAAATTGAGCTTCAACAGCCCTGTTAGTCGTGAGTTTAACTAGACTGAAACTTCGGTAACTAAATATTTCCTTCCAAGTCAAGTATATTATAATTCTATTGCTTTCTGAGATCCAATTTTAAAAGGCATTCAGTTTTATATGACGAAGTTATGTCTCTATTTTGAAAATGATTCTATGGTGCCTGTACGAATGTATTCTATTAACGTATGTTCACGAATTTTTTCTGCCTTCAGCCAATGGTGTATTTGTGACTTGTAAATTATGTTTCGGATATACTTAGTGATTTATATTTCATTGGTGTCACTCGATACTAACAATTATTTTGACTAACACTCAGAGTGATGAGTCAGTGTGATATATATTCAACTGATGGTAGGTTAGAAGTTTGTTTACAAAGTATTGAAGTGTATGGTTAGAGGAAATAAATAATATGAAATCATATCTCGTTTCAATACATTTATTGGAAAGAGCGTCGACACCTAGTTTACATATTCAGCGATTCCTGATAATTTCACTTTCCTACATAACTGAAGTACTAAAGTGATACTACCAGTGGAAAAAGAACGTCTGACGGTTGGTAAGGATCGAAAATTCTGAGATTTCAACGATTATCTATGTATTGGATCACGTAATCATGTGGTTGCTGGTATTATTTACCTAGTTTAGGATGAAATGATGCTATAGATGCCACACGTCGAGAAGTCGTCTACTGAAACTAACTTCAAGTTCATTTTCGTTCACAGTTTCATCGAGCTCTCACAATGCTCATTGGGTTCAATCTCTTGACATATGTTACGCATGAGTTGCCACTGACTCGTTTTATAAAACAGCTGTGTGATTTTGAGTACCTTTGAAGTTGAATTCTTATACATGCACTGAGAAAAACATTCCATTGAAAATCTGTGGCAATACAAATAAACTATTGTTTCTTGGATTATGCAACAATTTGGATTTTGAAACACTGGTACAGGATTTTCGAGGTATCTCGTATATTTTCAACCGGAGGTTACTCAATAATATAATTATATTGTTGCAAAATGGTTTTATCATATTCAGATAATCCTTTCAGATAATCTTTTTGATTGGAAGGAAAGAGAACAAGCATTACTGGATTGAATCGGGTTCGCTATCCTATTCCAACTACTCTAAGACCAGAACAGTTGAAATTTTAGATAAATGAAATAGATAAACTTTTTTTGCTGGACATAATTACAGAATGTTTACCGATTTACAGACATGATCAGTTTGATACAGATAAGAAGTTAAATTGATTTAAATTATGCTGTTTGTGAAAACATTTTTCATACGAACTAAAACAGTGTGAGGAATCATTTGCAAACAGTTAAATCTTTGTGAAGGAACTATGGCATCTATCTATCTATATCTATCTATATATATATATATATATATATATATATATATATATATATATATATATATCAGATTGGTAAGTACTTAAAGATATTATAGTATTCGGTAATTAGGAAGTGTGGTTAAATGAAGATGTGCATGTCAATGACAGAAAATCTATACAATTCGCAAAGGTAGATGCATAATTAAAGAAATCGGGAACGAATTTATCACTTCTAAATATTTCTTAAGACAGATTATATAAATGGAAAACATTATTTTATTGAACTCATAATAAACGTTCTGTAGGAATTTAATATTTTCACCACAGCTTTTTTTGATTAACGGCTATAGGATTATTATTCTGAATTGTCAGGTGAGCTAATTTTCGAACAAAATTAGCAATGTTTCCATTATTATGATCGCTGATCAGCTAATAGTAACCTAGCCTTCTGGTTCTTTGAACTTATCTCTGAGTTTAAATTATGGTGTGATTAACCACTCCAACCGTCACACTAAATCAATGATCTATTTTGTTTCTCAAAACTTCAAGTAATTACAGCATTCTCAGTCATCATGATTTAATCAATGTTATGCCGTCATTAGAAACCTGGAAGCAATGGACGGCCGTTTCGTGCTCATCCACGACTCTCGTTATCGGAAATCAAACCAAGGACCGTCAGTCTCATGTATAAACACCTAACCTCAAGACCTCTGAGCTGGCATCCAACAGTGTTGTTGTGTAATTTCAGTCAATCAACGATATTGAGAAATCTCAGTGATCTAGAAGTTAGGCTTTCGTGCATGATATCAAGAGTGTTTGGTTTGATTCCCGCATATGAGGGTCATTGATGAGCACTGCTAATGAGTCCCATACTGGGACGAAACGATCTTTCGGGTTTCTAACGGTGATCTAACATTGATCTATTCATGATTTTAGTGAGACTCAACAATCTCCATAACCCTATAATGACAATCAACTTAATAACAATGATAATAATATTCGTGTTATTTTGCCACAGTTTTCGAAGTCAGTTACATTTCTAGAATAAAACCGATGGAGTTTACCTACATTAATTTGCATTAAGTTCACAATAGTCAGGTTGACACAAATTATCTATTCATTCATCATTAGTAACCTTAGCAAACAAATCAACTTCCGTCATGTGGTCACATGATTTCCTTTATTGTTTTCATGTAGCTTCCTGTATATTCACCTTCCTTATAAAAAATTTATTGAAAAACCAACTCATTTATTTTATTAATTTAGATACTTTTAAAGTGTTACATGTTTAGTGACTTCACTTTTACGAATAAAACACGATTGGTTAAACAGCAACATTCGTTATTATAACCAATTTTCACAGTGGTTCAGTTACTGAACTTCCTGGTTATTCACATTTCTGTAACACATTTTCTTTGGCGCGGTCGCCATCTTGCTTCTACTGCTCTGTACCTATCGCCCATTTTCGATATTCTTTCGATACCACGGAATCGGCAGAAAATATACTCATTCATCTGGACTATCCCTTCTTCCTTGTTGTCGATTCTCGACGGTTTAACGTGTTCATAGTCAAATTTCGACTTGAAAAACTACATATGTCATGAGATGTATAATTTTTAAGTACTTAGTACATAATTACTATAAATAGATATAAAACTTCTACCACAAATTCACTAGATACAATAATTTTTTATACTACTTTTGTTACTTATGCACTGCTGCACATTAATTTTTCATTGAGTTTAGTTACTTTTTCCAAACTTCATCCACCAATATTAGAGCAAACTCATTGATTTATCATTTCGCATGAGATAACAGGCACATAACTAATCACATAAGCCTAATTTTAGGGGCAGAAAAATTGAAAATTTTAACACTGTAGGATTCTCATTGACATTTGTTCAGCCATCATATCAGATGAGCTACACCTCTTCAGAGTTCTCTCCTTTCAGTGATTAAAAGGTTTCAAATGACGGATAGCACCTCTTTCACTTGACGTTCTACTTTAAAGGATAGGCTTAAGCATTGAGTATTTTCTGTTGACTCCAGATAGTCATGTTTGAGATAATGCTACATAGCAAAGTTATGATATGAAATCATAATAGTAGGCATGAATTAAACTAATGATCAACGTTCTTTATGAACTTTTAAAAGGGTTGTATAAATTTATCTGATCCAATGTTTCATCGATAGAAGGAAACGGTTTGTCAGTAACGTCTTACTAGCTACAATCGATCTTACAATAAATGAGCAGCTACAATTTCCTAAATCGTTAACCGAAAATCTCCACATATCGTATTTTCATAAGCTGCATCTTTTGGTGATTCGCGTAGTTTGTGACATCGTGTCAGGGATATATAGTTTACGTTGAAAGTGAATAGAGCTCCGTTGATTTGTTTGAATTAATCCCACCGAACTTTTCTTGGTGAGTGCTTTTGATATTTCCGGTCACAGAGAGCTATAAGCCCTTCCTATCAGTAATGACAACATTCTAGATTTCAAAGTGGATGTGACCACATACTTGAGTCCTGTCTCTTGCCATTTCATTCTTTGACTTTCCAAAATAACTAACCATGTTCTTTCGCTTAAATCCGGGTATTTTCATCAGGGTTAAAATCTGAGATAAATTCCATCTCAGTGCCAGAACTACTGTCAAGCTGGTAATGAGATGCTCACATTATGGATGGGTAAGGGTTTTCTCCAGAATGGAAGGGCAAGGTATAGGATGGTTTTTTTAGGAAGTACTAAAGCTGTTGCAAGATACTGTTAGCCAGTCAATACGAAGGTTTGCAAAGGTAGTTCATTTTGTAGAGGACCATAGT